GCTTTCTTCCATCCAGCCATTCTTCTATCCAATTTGCTAACTCATCCCCACACCTATACAGCTAATTCTTTTTACAAGCCTTTTATGTGGCACTTTGTCAAATGCTGCCATCTAGAGTGAATTTCATATAACCACTGTTCACACAAGGACATGAATGTAAATGTGTCACTTTAGATTTTTTGTTTCTGAAGAACTTTGTACTATTATAAAGCACTTTGAATTTTTGTGCCCACAAAACAGATATTTCATGGAAATTCAATTGGTCAATTTCAACAATGAGGAATTATAGAAAGTTTAATATGGTGTAAAATAAGCAGTTCAAGTTCACCGATTTGTGAGGAAAGGCTTGTGTCTTACTACTACTCCCCCCTGTAAGGTGGGCAGCATACCCTTACACTAGTACCCACATTCTTTTGTGCATTGTCTTAGATAATGCACAACTTACCAGGAGCATTTAAATGAATGCATAACTTATTCTAAATTGTAGTTGTTGTAAGGTATGTTGGAGTCATTTTACCTAATACTTTTTTTCTTTCAAAACATATAAGGAAAATAACAACACAACACAAGAAGTACATTTTTTCTATATCTACAAAAGATCTATATCCAATATTTGTTTTAACTAGAAATGATATTTATAATACAGAATGGTTAATTTTAAACCTCTTTTGCTTTGTCATGCAATTTATCGTAATTGGTGAAAATCACATTCTTAGTGAAGTATTTACTATAATGCAAATACTCCAAATTTCAAGAGATGGAGCTTTATTAACAACAATACAAAGTATTACATAGAGAATTGATAATTATATGATTCCAGATAGATAAGAATATAAAAAACAACTTAAGAAACAAGATAATTAAAAATTGTTAATTTAAAATGATCGTCAAAAAATTGCAGAAACAAGTCGAACCAAAATGCAAAGATTTTATTTTCAAGCCTATAACTAGGAACTCCATAAAAACAAAGTAAACAAATTAGGCTGACAATAGTGTTTACATTATTTTCTCAAGCTACAAATCCCTATTTTGACTCCATGTTTACAGTACCTATCCATTTTGGTGGAGTCAGAATAGGAATTTGT